TTCTTTTAATGTCTTTTTATGTAAAAGATATGTAAAATATCTTTTTATGTAAAAATGTAAAACAGTGCTACTCACTTCACCAACATTTATTTTAGTTTGGAAAATACAGACGTTTTATAATTAAACAATGTTAACATACTGTTTTAAAATAGGTATTTTTACTTTCTCAGTTTTAATTTCTAGCATGATAAATATCAATAGGTATAACTAGCATAAACAAAGCTCCTGGGATCTTTCATAATTTTTAGAAGTGCAGAGAAATTCTTAGCACAAAAAGTAGCAATTTATAGGATTTTTTATGCTATTCTCTGAAGACACACATGCTTCATTTTTAAAAATCTGGGAGCTTCCCTTCTTTACCTATATTCTAGAACAATCAAAGTCTAAGCCTTTAAAGTTACAAAAATCTCACCTGTGTGACCATCTAGATCTCAGGCTTTGTGTGTATAGGGCCGGGGGAAGGGAGGGGAGATCAGACAGAAGATGGGTTCTTTTCATTCCAATCTAATTTTTTCCATGATTGTAATTTTTAAAAAATTTCATAAGCAATGTATACCGTGTGATATAAAGGTTCTTTCTGGCTGCTAGAAGGCTTAGGGTTATAAGTGCGACCCTTATGTTAAAAACATTTTTTTGCCTTTATTCATCCCATCTTGTCATCACCTGTTATTCATTTTCTTTTGCTATCACTTTTTTTTTTCTAAGATTTTATTTATTTGTTTATTTGACACAGAGAGAGCGAGGGAGAGAAAGACAGAAAGCAAGCACAAGCAGAGGGAATGGCAAGCAGGGGAAAAGCAGGCTCTCTACTGAGCAAGGAGCCGGGATGCGGGGCTCAAGCCCAGGACCCTGGGACCATGACCTGAGCTTAAGGCAGACACTTAACTGACTGAGCCACCCAGGAGCTTTTTGCCATCACTTTTTTTTTTTTTTTTAAGATTTTATTTATTTTATTTATTCATTTGACAGAGAAAGATACAGCGAGAGAGGGAACACAAGCAAGGGGAGTGGAAGAAGGAGAGTCAGGTTTCCCGCTGGGCAGGGAGCCTGATGGCAGGGCTCGATCCCAGGACTCTGGGATCATGACCCCAGCCGTAGGCAGACGCTTAACGACTGAGCCACCCAGGTACCCCTGCCATCACTTTTAAACCCCCTCTATTTCTATCACAAAACTTCTGTACTTTGCCTAAAATAGTGTTTGGAACGAGCTAAGTACAAATAACTTGATCACTGCTGTGTGAAACATTTTAAGATAGATTCTGATTAGTATTCCCACCTTTCATTAGTTCATACATATTTTTGTGCCATGCAGACTAGAACTCATCATTCCTGGGGCTTTAGATTGGGGATATATCCCAGCATTACTGCAGGTAAAGTGAGGGGAAGAAATATGTAGGAAACTTACATTTATTGGACTCTTGTAACCCTAAGAATACGATTAGTCCTGTTTTACTTGTGAAGAAACAAACTGAGAGCACTGTGGAACTTACCCTAAGTCCCAAGGAGAGGAAGCAGCTGAGCTGGCATTAGAACCCAGGTCTGTGAGATTCCAAAGCCCACCCTTTCAATTAATACACTGCTGCCTCCTTCCTAACAGGGAGAAAACTGTTTCTTTTGTCAGAAACTTAACTTTTTCCTTCACGTTTTAAAAATACTTAATGCCACAGAATCAAAAAATTGCAGCACTTTTATATTACTATTAATAATTGGTATTTTACCAACAAAAACATGCTGAAATATATAAATTGGAATGTAAAATAGTCCTCTTCGCAGCCCTCTCACAAATCCATGCTCACATAACAACTCCAGACTCTTCTGATGTGTTTGTTTTACCTAGATGGGAGCAAACCAAACACAGCCTTCTATCGAGGGGCTCATCATGAAACGATGTTGCTTTCCTGTGTCAGCATTCCCAGGTCTACTGTTTCCTTTTTTATATCTATACAGTATATCACCAAGTGGATGGATTGAGCTTTCTTTTTTCTATATAGTTCACTAACCGACTTAACATGTTCATAAAATAATCCAAGTACACTCATGCCTCAGGATCGTTATGACTTTGTTGTTCCCTAACTTCACTCAAATGATACCTCTGGGAGAAACTCCCGGACTCTCTCTGTAACACTGCCTCCTATAATTTTCTATCTCCTTACCCTTATAAGCACCTGATGTATTTTATTAATTTGTCTTGTCTCTCCCAATTAGAAACCAGAAGAAGTTGTGTGCTAGTTACTAGGCACTGAGGATACAACCCCCACCCTTCATTGTATCCTCACTGCCCTGGAACTGGCACACAACCAGAAACCAATGGATACTTGTTCGATTAATCCCCCTTGACTTGAAATGACTTCTGTATCCTATTCGGAGGTCCATATAAACTTGCTTTACTTCAGGACTTTCCCTGTACTGCCACCACTTCATCTATGTATCTTGTGGTAAAATGGTTTTAGTTGCTATAATTTTAACATACAATATGCCAAATTTTCCTTCTTTTTAAGAATTTTTCTGGTTATTTTAATGTTTATCTGGAGGGAGACGATCATTTGAAATCCGCATTAGGACTATAATGTTTATACAGGTTGAACTGTCATATTTTAAAAAGTTAAGGTTTCCAACCAAAAATGAGATATGCCATTCCCAATAGTTACATTAAATCTACTTTACAATTTTCAGTGAGACATTATAGTTTTCAATATCCCTGGAGTATATATGGTGGTGCTTTTGTTAAAGGCATCTTCTTCCTCATGTACATTTCTAACTGGTTATTACTGGTACATATTTTTAAGAAGCTATCGCTTTTAGTATGTATGTATTCGTATGTTATATTAGGATACTGTGTTCATAAGTTTACACACAATATACACAAGCACATATTTTCTCAACATTTGTCATTTTATTAGACTCTTTTACTTAAGGTGTTTCAGGTAATTTCCTTGCAGGCTGCCTGTATGCAATGCTCTCATATACAAATTATGACAATACTGCCTTCATCCTGCCACTCTTTATACCTCTTACAGGGTCACTTACCAGTTAACTAGTTAGTACTTCTAAAACACTCCTAAAATAATGATACTAGAAGACGCTTTCTATCATTCTTGTCTTACATCTTCTAGTATTTCACCACTAAATATTATTCTGGCTATTAGTCTACGATACATATTTTCACCATGTTAAAGAAATATACTTTTACACTTAGTTTGTATTCTAGCAAATGCTTATTCAACACCTACTAAGAAAAACATATTACCTTATTTCTATTAAAGTGGTGAATTATAATAATGGATGTCCTAAAACTGCAACATTTGTATATTCTTTGAATGACTCCTACTTGACTCAGCAAGTTGATTTTTAATGAAAAGCTAGATATGACTTGCTAATCTTTCCTTCAGAATTTTTGGGTTAATATTCTATAGAAATTTTTCAGGATGTTTTTGTCAATTACTGATGTATGAGTCATACTAACCTAAAAGCTTCAGGAAGTCTTATTTCCTACATGATGTAGAGAATTAGTTAAAATTTAGCTACTAAGGTAGAACTGTCTAAATTCAAATCTCGATTTTGCTGCTTGCTAGTTATATGACCCTAGACAAATTCTTCACTTTCTAAGGTTCCATTTTCTTAATTATAAAAAGTAAATGGAAGGCTGTATGAAGCTTAACTGAGGCTAATTCAAGTGAAATTCTTAGAAAAATGCTTGCATCGTGTATAAATAAAAGTTAGAATCATTAATAGAAGCCCTAGTATCCAAAGAATCAGGACCACTGCCTTATTAAGTGAAAAAATGGGTAAGAGGGAATCATGAAAAAAAAATAATAATAAAGAAACACAGATACATAATTTAAATATTTTATTGTAACTGAAAAATTTAAAATATACATTCTCCAATTTTCTGACACAGGGCAAGGCCTCTCTTTGAACAGAGGATTTGTTGAATGGGACTCTGCATTAGCTTTCCTGAACAAACCACATTATCAAGGATTTAAAGCAATCTGAGTACTAAATTCTTCTAAATTTTTATGACTTACCTTTCTAACTTAAAGTAACTTGCCTCCCACCCAGTTAATCTGATAGCAACTTTGTTAAGTCTTTGCAAGCACCGCATCTGTGTATGTTTAAAGGACACACATATAATAATAAAAAGTTGGTATACAAAATTGGAAACAACCATCTCTTAGTCATTATACTTCAACGGGGAGGATAAATACATAGTCTTACTAGAGAGTAGTAGTCTCCCAGCTGCAACCATTCAGCGTGTCATGTTATCATGCTACTGTTACTTACAGAGGGACTGGAGAGCATCAATTAATCCAATAAGTCTGTTGAAGGGAAGGTTCATAGTATATTGGTATCTGTGCCTCATACCAGTATCTTTCCTATAAGTTCTCATCCATATTTTGAGACACACACAAAACTTAGAAGTTGCAAATTGACATTATTATATATGAAAGCCAAAGCTTTTTTTAAAAATAAAAGAATTACTTTAAAACATTACATGAAGAGAAAGGTGATTATGTATGTCCTTATGACTTAGGCACTACGATAGACTCCAAATAACGAAGACTGACGCCTGTAGGTACATACACGCGTTTCCATGTATAAACATTCACATATAAAATGTATGCATATGTGTATGTAAAACAGTTTGTCTTTACAGTATCCCCAAAACACTAATTCTTCCATCCTGCCATACTAAAAAAAAAAAAAATGTATCTACCATTTATTCTCTCCTTCCTCATATTTATTTACTCTTTCTTCCTGGTCTTATTTTTTGGGCCCCCCCACCCTTTCATTTAATTGCAAAAAGATTTAGGGACTTTGAGATCTTTAATTTTACTAGATCAAGTATCAAGAAGTACCCACATTCTAGTTTCTCCTCCATGCAGCAATCATTAGCCTTCAAGAAAACCATGCTGTTCTCCTAAAGACACAAACTTGAAAGACTTTAAATTTCCTATGAAGTATTACACAACCCCCAAAAAATATTACAATCATGAACTTACCTTATTAACTCTAGTTGTGCAAGTTCTTGATTTGCTTGAAATATAGGTTTTTTTGTGAAGAGTTCACCAAGGATACAGCTAGAGGAAAAAAATATGCATCATTATAAAATGATATGATTTTACTTTACTACCAAAAATTTCAAGTAAACTAAGCCAGTCAGTCAGCCTATCTTACCCACAGCTCCACACATCAATAGCAGGTGTGTATCTTTCTTCTCCCAACAGCAGTTCAGGTGGACGGTACCATAAAGTGATGACCTTATTAGTATACGGCCGACTAAAAAACAGAGAAAGCACTCTTTTGAGTTAGTATCTGTTAATAAGAGAGATTCTCTTAAGAAATATTATTTTGGCTCATCAGAGCAATCCTACAATCCTAACTAAAACCAATTTCATCTGCCTACTAAATTCAGACATGCTATTACATCTGACATATGTGATCAAAAAATACATTTGAGAGCAACATGATTAACTGAAAATTTCCTTAATACATAAAAATGAGAAGTAGTTGGCTGATTTTAACTGTCATCTGGTCAAAAAAAGGTCCCAACTGTTCAGTTCTGTTTTTCCTTTCCGTAACTTTAAAGGGGATTAACTGACTTAAAGGAAGTTGATTGATCTTGACCAAATCTGGCAAATTACTAATGTGTGGCAAGATACAGTACAAATTGGAATCACCTAACAAAAATGTTCACTTGGGCATATTTTTGACAATATTTCACTGACTGCAACTCCACTTCAGTATGCACATACAAAGTACATAAATGTAGACTGTAGTCGTTGAAGTCTATTCTGCAAAGTACCACTGGTAACAGGTATGATACTTTATCAAGATGATTTCTTTTGTCACCTTCTAAAAGAGAGGATAGACACATACTGCTACCTCTTTATTTGCCAGTGGGGCTTATCTGGTGGAGCAAATGGGCTGTGGGGAACGGAACTGAGGTACTTCTGTAAAAGGCTTGCCTGCAGAGCCACTCATGCCAGGGAGGAACACAGTGCAGCTGTTTGAAAAGCCACTAGACTGTCGTGAGGAAGATTCATTGGCTGATCTGAAGCCAGCCACAAGAGGGGCGGGGGCCTGCTGGGGCTCTGTCCAGGGACAAAGGTGCTGCCAGGCACCACTGCTGCACCTTCCCTCTACTCTGATAGCACTGGTGGTGCACTCCCACCCTGCACTCTCCGATGGCCCCACTAAAGCTGGCAGGTGCACCCCAGTCCTGTATTCTCCCCCAGCTGCACTAAAGCTGTTGGTCACACACACTCCCCAAAGGAGATGCTCCCTGATCACCTGGCTCTGGTGGCCAGGGGGACCTGCATTTCTGGGTCCCATGAGAAAGTAATAATCAAACAGTTCTTGGCAGGCTACCATGCCCAGGGCATTACACAGACTGAAACACACCCTAGTCTTTCTGGGCAGAAGACCTACTTAGATGTCCTCCAGCTTCAGCCTAAGGGGCAGACTTCAGGTTTGCCACGCATCTGAAGTCTACAGAGGTGTTCTCAGGGAAAGCAGGGCAGGGGACACCATCCTTGCATTCTCTACTGACCTCATTACTGGTACCTCTCAGAAAGGAGCTTTTTACTCATCTTATGCTCTGACTTTTCCAACTGTAGTCCAAGGGATATCTCCAGATTAACCTGGTCTGCAGGCCAGAGGATTTACAATCGTGGTCCCATATGACTATATATATTTGCATACATTAAAAGCTGCTGCCTGAGGGTCTGGCTTCCAATCAGCCTGAATCTAGGTGCTGACTGAGAGCCCTGCCTTTGCAACACTGACGGGTCTTGGAACATCCTCCACAGTTGGTTCCTATCAAATATAAATCAGACTGCTTAGACAAACACAAAGGTTTGAGAAACAGAAGAGCTAGAGCAAGGCTGAAAGATAAAGATCATCTCCTATACAAGCCCACTCCTTCAAGACTAGAAGAGATAGCTGTTTTCCCTAAACATAGAAATAACCACAATCAAGAAAAAAGAGGAAACAGAAAAAACATGTCCAAATGAAAGAAAAAGGTAAAACCTCAGAAGAAAAAAAAAACAACAACAAAAAACTAATGAAACAGAGATAACGAATTTACCTGATAGACTAAAAATGGTCATAAGGATGTTCACCAAACTTGGGGGGAAAAAAAAATCAATGAACAAAAATAGATAGAAAATGTAAGAAATTATCAAAGAGAAGTCACAAAGCTGAAGAAGACAGTAACTGATCTGGGTGGGGGGGAAGAAACTAAACTAGAGGGATTCAATAGCAGACTACATTACGCAGGAGCAAAGCAGTGATCTAGAAGATAGAGCAGTGGGATTCAAACGAGCAGAGAAGCAGAAAGAAAGAAGAAATTAAACTGAAAACTGCTTAAGGAACCTATGGAACACCAAGCAGAATCACATCCATATTATATGGGTACCAGAGGAGAAGAGAGAGACAAGTGGACAGAAAACTAATTTGAAGAAACAGTGGCTGCAAACTTCCCTAACGTGGAAAAACAGATATCCAGATCCAGGAAGCCCAAAAGAGCCTATAAAAATGAATTCCAAAAGATCTACACCAAGACACAGTATAAATAAAATGTCAAAAGTAAAAGATAAAGAGATAATCTAAAAAGCAGCAAGAGGAAAACAACTTTTACATACAAAGGACCTCCCCTCCCCCAGGTCTGCGTAAGACTCTCAGCAGATTTTTCAGCAGGAACTTCGCACACCAGAAGAAAGTGCACATTATATTCAAAGTGCTGAGAGGAAAAAACTCCCAAACAAAAATACTCTACCCAGCAAGGTTATCATTCAGAATTAAAGGAGAGAGAAAGTTTTCCAGACAAGAAAAAGCTAAATAATTTCATCATCTAACCTAGCTTTACAAGAAATGTTAAAGGGAATTCTTTAAGCTGAAAAGAAACTTTCTTTACTAATTAGTAACTTTACTAATTAATAACAAGAAAACATGTAAGTATAAATCTCACTGGTAAAGACAGACTAATGGCAGTGGATTAAATCACATAAAGCTACTATAAAGGTTAAAAGACATAATTAGTAAAAAGAACTGTAATTACAATTATCAGTTAAGGGATAAAAAGATGTAAAATGTGACATCAAAAACATAAAATGCCAGGGTAAGTAAAAATGTAGAGTTCTAGAATGCATTCAAACTTAAGCTGCTATCAGGATATCTGATTTAGGGTCCAACTCTTGGTTTCAGCTCAGGTCAATGGAGTCCTGCACCAGGCTCCACACTAAGCAAAGTCTGCTTGAGATTCTCTCTCCCTCTGTCCCTCCCTCTGCTCCAATGCATGCTGTCTCTAAAACAAGGATATCTTTAAAAACAAAAACAAAAACAAAAACCTTAAATTGCCATCAACTTAAAATAGATGGTTATATATAGGCTGTTATGTGTGAGCTCATGATAACCACAAAGCAAACATCTATAAGAGATGCACAAAGATAATAAAAAAAGAATCTAAGCATAACACTAAAGAAAACCACCAAACCACAAAGGAAGAGAGCAAAAGGGAAGAAAGGAACTAAAACCCAGCCAGAAAACAATGAACAAAATGGTAATAAGGACAGATCTATTAATAATTACTTTAATAGAAATGGATTAAATTCTCCAACCAAAAGACACAGAGTGGCTGAATAAATAAGACAAATGAACAAACAAAAAAACAAGATCCTTCTATCTGCAACCTACAAGAGACTTGCTTCAGATCTAAGAATGCACACAGCCTGAAAGAGATAGAAAAAGACGGTTCATGCAAATGGAAACCAAAAGAAAGCAGGGGTAGCTTTACTTATATCAGACAAAATAGATTTTAAAACCAAGAGTGTAATAAGAGACACTTGTTAGTGGGAAGAGGGATGCCTGGGTGGCTCATTGGTTAAGCATCTGGCTATGGCTCAGGTCAGGATTCCAGGGTCCTGGGATTGAGCCCTACATTGCGTGCCTTGTTCAGCGGGAAGTCTGCTTCTCCCCGGCACCCCCCATGCTCGCGTGCTCTATCTCAAATAAAATAAATAAAATCTTAAAGAAAAAAAAAAAAAAGAGAGCGAGCGAGCGAGACAAAGAAGACCTTTATGATGATAAAGGGGTCAATCCAACAAAAGGCTATAACATTTCTTTTCTTTCTTTTTTTAAAAAATTTTTTACTTATTTATTTATTTGATAGAGAGAGAGAGCATGAGAGAGAGAGCGAGCATGAGAGGAGGAAGGTCAGAGGGAGAAGCAGACCCTCTGCTCAGCCGGGAGTCTGATGGAGGACTCAATCTCAGGATTCCAGGATCATGACCTGAGCTGAATATAGTCGCTCAACCAAATGAGCCATCCAGGCGCCCAGATTTAACATTTCTAAATGCTTAAGCACTCAAGATAGGAGCACCTAGATAATGTAAATATTAACAGACCTAATAAGAGAAATGGACAGCAATACAATAATACAGGGGACTTAATACCCCACTTCCACCAATGGACAGATCATGTGGACAAAAAACATCAATAAGGCAACATCAGCTTTAAGCAACCAATTAGATCATGTGGTTTTATAAAGATATATACAGAATACTCCATCCAAAAGCAGCAGAATATGCATTCTTCTCAAGTGCATATGGACATTCTCCAAGATAAATTACGTTAGGCCACAAAACAAGTCTCAATATATTTGAGAAGCTGAAATCACATTAAGCATCTTTTTCAATCACAATGGTATGAAAGTAGAAGTGAATGGAAAAAAACTGGGAAATAAATCACAAATACATAGAGATTAAACAATATGCTACTAAACAACCAATGGGTCAATAAGGAAATCAAAGGAGAAATAAGTAAAAACCTCAAAACAAATGAAAATGGAAAATGCAACTTACCAAAATCTATGGGATGCAGCAAAAGCAGTTCTAACAGGGAAGTTCAAAGCGATAGAGGCCTACCTCAAAAAAACAAAATCTCAAATAAACAATCTAACTTTACACCTAACGGAACTAAAAAAAGAAGAACAAGCAAAACCCAAAGGTCTTAGAAAGAAGGAAATAACAAAGAGCAGAAATAAATGAATTAGAGACTAGTAAGACAACAGAAAAGATCAATGACACCATAAGCTGGTTCTCTGAAAAAAGAACAACAAAAAAAAAAAACAAAGGCAACAAACTTTTAACTAGACTCAAGAAAAAAAGAGAAAAGGCTCAAAGAAAAAGTCCTAGAAACATATACTCTTCCAAGACTGAATCATGAAGAAAAATAAAATCCGAACAGACCGATTACTAGTAAGGAAAATGAATGAGTAA